GTCTTTGCAGACTATAGGCCTCCACTCAAGCCCAAGGATTTTGTTTGAATTATTTAAACCTTCTTCCCCCTAATTCATTTTTCAATGGCTCCAAAATCCCCGCAGCCGGGAGAAACTCTCCGCTCCCCCAACCCCACCTCAACCGTACCCCCCTAAACAAAACGAGCAGAGTTTTTAAGAGCTCATTGAAAAGTTTGGCTCCTCAGTTTTGTGTAAAAGTGGCGGATCGCCTCTAACATTAACCTTGTGACGAGTTTGAGCTTGTATTAAAAATATGGCATGAGGACAGGGTTCAGTGATCAGCTGCAATTATACACTTTCCCCATCTGAGCATGTCCTTCGATCTCAGCACAACCAAGCACTTGACAAATTGTTGTTATCAAACTGGAGTTGCTGAAGTGGCCGTGGCAACGCTGCTTCCTAACCACAGCAGCAGCAGCAGGAGTGAAACATATCTAAAGCTTCCTCTGATTGTGTCTGCGAGATACAGAGAGAAGCAGTTCTAATAAAGCATAACAGATGCATGGAAGGCCTTGCATCTGAGGGAGAGTACCTACATATACTTATTATTCATTACTCCCTGTACCACATTATTACTTGGCAGAATCAATATCGTAGGAGCCACAGAAAACAGAGAAAGCAGCATTAGGCATTCAGCACAGCCGGTTATGGAGTTACAAATTGCTTTTAACCGCAGACACTGTGTGTGTGTGACAAAGAAGCAGAGCAAGTGAGCACTTAAGCACAAGTGTGTTCACACATGTGGCACGAGTGCTACTAAACACGTCAAAAGTCGCCACGTACTTGCAAAGCCTGCTGAAACCCACTCGACGTTTTCGCCGTGCGCCGCCCAGCTTTCTTTTTTTTAAGTCGCACAATAAGGTTGAGAAAATACTTACTTTTCCAGGGTCGTCTTTGGAGCGAGGCACTTTGAGAAAACACTTGTTCAAGGACAAGTTGTGTCGTATAGAATTCTGCAGAGGGAGAGAAAAAAAGGAAGAAAAGAAGAGAATATTATGAAGTAGTAACAAAGTGGCATCACTTTTACACGTTTTCTTTAAATAAGCAAACTGACTATATTACAGTTACTTTCTGAATCTGCTTTCATTCTACAGTAAGGACTGGAGAATATGAGAAAAGTCTGAATTGTGTGATAACATTAATAGTAATGACGGTTACACATTTGCTCCACAGTTCCTATTATTTTTCTTTCTTTTTCTTTTACATATACCCACACGAAGACGCATCAATATGCACAGATAGATAAACAGAGAAATAAAACGTATGCTTTTTAAACATGCTCTTATTGAACAAGGATAAATGTCTGCTGCGTTATGCAGCATCTTTAGTGAAATATCTGCTGTATGTTGGCTTTGCATTAAGGATGAAACACCATTTATCAGCCAGCCTTATTCATTAGTGTCCACTGCAACAGAAGCTTTTATCTTTTTCCAGCCTTTGTCAAGACTGTTGGAAACCAATGCAAAACCATTATGGGACCTTGCCATGTCCTTCATCTCCTTCCAAAGTACAAGTTTTGCTTCACTCAGATTAGAATCTGGTCTTACTATCTTTAGCTTGGGTTTCACTCGGGTCTGGCTCCAGAACCTCGGTCTCGACATTAGCGAAGGCCTTCAAAAGGAGTCCTCTGCTTTCTACTCCGTACCGTGTCGAATAAAAACAGACACTACGGGTCACGGTTAGACAAGAGTGAAATGCGGGCTGCTGCGGTGCAGATGCAGACGACTCCATTGATTAAAGCCGAAGCGTACCAGACGCTCCTGAAACTGATGATTGAAAACAGGAGGCTGGAGCGCATTTCAGTGAAGATAGGGAGCGAGACAGAGGGATGCTAGGGCAATGATTCGCCATGACCGTGAGGTGGGTGATAATGTCAGTGGTTGTGCGTTTGATGTGCTACAGGGTTGGATTTGTTTTTTTGAATATGTCAAGAGGCTGTGTTCAGAGTAAAACTGGAGGGAGGAGGAGGAGTTTAAGCTGGGCTTAATGAAAACTCACATTTTTGTACACGTTCGGTTTTAGCCATAAAGACGAGAAGATCATATTTCTTAAATTTATAACAAACCCTATTGTTTATGTGTGTATTTGTGTGTGTGTGTTGTGAGGGTAGGAAAAGGAAAAGAAAGAGAGAGAGTGAGAGAAACGGTGTGAGAGAGAGAGAGAGAGAGAGAGAGAGGGGGGAAGAGAGAGAGAGAGAGACAGAGAGAGAGGGGGGCACAACAGCTTATGCTAACCTGACATGAACCTGTTCTCCCTGCAGGCTCCCGTTCTCCACTCATCTGCTGCTGCTAATTAATACCACTGGGGAGGAGGAGGAGAGAAGACAGAGGGATGGGAGGAATTTCTCGTCTCCTTCTCTCGGGTTCGTACTGCTCAGCAGCAGCTTTGTTTCTCTTACAGAAAAAGAAAAACACCTTCTCTCTCTCTCTCTCGCTTTCTGTCTCCAGTATACCATTACAGCCTAGTCCACCTCTGCCTCCCCTCGATCTCTGCTGAAGAAGAAATGCTCGAGCAGGTTTTGGCTTCTCTGCTTAGCGGGTCACTGGCTGCTTGTGGCCGTCCATCAAGGAAATATGTGGCAGTCGGGAGATGAAAAAAGGCAAGGAGGACTGCCACCAGCTACCACACTACGGTAACCATCTGTTCCAAAAACTTTCCTGCAGTTGGTGGCGGTAGATCATTAACACAGAGTCCCGTCACTTCAGGAGCTAGCCCATCTAACTTTGCTAACCTCTACCTGTTATTTGTTTATTCACACACTATATTTTATGACTCAAGCAATTTTTGGAACATCTGTGCACTACTTGCTATGTCTGCACAACCCCATCTATTTCAGACTTTGTACACTCTGGCAAATTTCACTTTTGGGGCATGTGTGTCCGTTGCTGGGCCCGCAGGGTTGCACTGTGGCTTTTAAAGCCTTTGTACAGCCCTGGATTTGTTCCTGTCATTTAGCTAACTAAAAAAATCTTCCAGTGTGGAATAATGATAAGTCGGCCCCTTTCAGTAAATGGAGAATTTACTGTAATATTTTTCAGATGGTTTGGAGCACGGGAGTTTTCTTCCATGTGCGCGTTATGATCCACATATCAACAAAAACAGCCCGTAGCCCAAACCAATCAGCATGCGAGGATACAGTTGGATTAGGATAGAATAGATAGAATAAAATGAGCCAAATGCTGAATTTAAAGACTGACATGTACAGTGCTGTTTGAAGCTTGCAAACTTGCACTATACTGTATTGCTTAATTAATTTCATGCCCTTCTTTCTTTTGTGTCTGTGCTGATTGTATGTGAGAGAAGGGTGAAAGGAAAGGAGCGAGAGTGGTGATCCTCTAAGCTTTGCTTATTTTCTAGAGTGCCCAGTAATTACAGATGAGCAAAATATATTTTTTAACTGAATTCAAAATTTAGTGTATAAAACTACATGACCTTCTAAGCGGTGATACAAAACCAACGTGGTGCTTATGGCGTAATCTTAACTTCTGTATGCTGTCAGCACTCACAGTGATGAGACATTTGCTTAGCGGCATTAAACAAAATATATTTGAGGTTAAATGGTAACGGTAACAACCAGCAGGTCAGTATTTAATCTTTATATGATTCAAACTATCATTTGGATATGGACATTATATTAAAGTTATATTACATTATATATTCAGTGTTAGGTAATGTTGGTGGCTCAGGTGGTAGAGTGAGCAGATTGAGTTCCAGCCTTAGCTGAACTTTGCTGAGCTAACTAGCCTTTGGTGCAGCACTCCTCCTCCTCAGTGGGCTCCCCCACCAGTCTTGTTGAGCTGTGCTTGACTTGCAGGTGTGCTTCTACATATTTGATGTAAAGCTGCAGCTGACAAACATTCATTATCGGCCAAGGATACATCTTCATTTCTCTTACACTTGTGTCTCAGTGGAACAATGTCACAAGTTAAGAATGAATACTGAACACTAGTACAAATGCACCTGTGCATGCTGTTGGGAGGTAGAAACAAAAGAAACATAGGAAATATGGTGCAACAGTTACAAATAGCTAATATGAAAAAGTAACAGTTTTTGAGGCTGATTGGACAACAAAGTAACTAGAGTACTCTAATGAGCTCATTTGTAATGCATTTCCCTCTGCATTGCTCATATACCGTGTACATGTATATATTGGTTATTTTCAGCATATAACACAAATATGGTCTAAGACAGAGCTACTGGAAGAACAATGGTATGTTTCACAAAGCAAAAAGCAATGCATTATATAGGAGGTTAAACACACAAGTACAAGAATGCCAGCACTGTAACAAAGCAACAATGTCTGAGAGGTGATATGAGCATAATAGGAAAGGTCTGTGCAGCAGTATAGTGATAAAAAAAATGCTATGTGAATTTATATATGCACTTTCCTTGCTGTGGTCACAAAGACGGGAAAAGCGCTATATTAATAAAGCCTATTTAAAAATATTTAAACATCTTTACAGACACCCTCTTTAGTTTTAAGATTAGGCTTAAAAATGTTGTTTTTTATAGTTTGAGCCAGATCAGGTGACCCTGAACCCTCCCTTAGTTACGCTGGAGTAAGCCTAGGCTGCTGAGGTCTTCCCCTGTTGCTCTTAGCAAAGTTTCTTCTTCACTCACCTTTTTTCACACTCTATGCATTCATACACCACTCTGCATTTAACCATGAGTTATTATTAATCTCTGTTTCCCTTCCACAGCGTCTCTTTTGTCCTGTCTCCCTCTCACCCCTAACCTGTCACGGCAGATGGCTGAGCTCGTTAGGGAGAAAACTTTGGTGCGTCGACATCCGCGAGCTCTTCCAGGAATGGTGATGATGCTTTCCAGGAAAAGTCGAGAGGCACTGAGTTAGTATGTGTTGATCGCAAACTTAATCAGCTCCAGAGCAGGTAAGGTATTCAGCAGAAGTTACCGTGGCGATGCAACAAGGTAAATGAACCACCTTTCCAACATCGAAAACCCAAACTTACCTCATCAAACCCCTAGCAAGGTTCGTCCTGGTTCGTTTAACTTCAAGTGAATGAATTCCCCTAACTTTTATTTACTTCTCAATATGTTTTACTCTTTACTTTCTTCATTTTATCAGCCTTTTCATCACTGTATGGTAATTTTTCTTTATCGAATAGTATGAAGATTTCATTTCAAACATTTAATAGGCTGTTATGAACTCCATGCACGCACGCACACACACACACACACACACACACACACACACGCACTCTCTCTTAGCCACCCACACGTATGCAAAAGGGCGAATGATACATAAAACAAATTCTGTTTCTTTTCCCTGACGGGATCTTGGATAAAAGAAAGAATAACAGAAAAAACCTAAATATGATTTCTCCACATAGCTCGCTACAAGGACATAAAGATGCTGTGTGTGTTTGTGCGTCTCTTCCTCGGTGTAACAACACACAGAGGAAAACCGTCCTTCATTCTGTGCCTGCTTGTTTGTGTGTCATTTGTGAATACATAGTACATGTGAAAGCCTGCTTTCATAAATGCTAAAGAAATAAAAAGTAATCTTTCACTGAATAATCATTAGCAATAGATGAACTGATTAGCAGTGCTGTGAAGTAAGATAATGAGAGTCACTGCTGTATCTTCCTCCCACACATTCCTTGCCCTGCCTGATTAATTAGCTTTTTTTTGACCAGGCTGAGGCCATGCCATTCCCGCCCAGTAGCTGAAGGATCACAGAGCGTGCGGGTGTGTGCCTGCGTGTTTGTGCGAAATGCAGGCGCTGAATAAGACTACTGGTTGAGTCCCATACCTTTGGCATGAACAAAATTATATACACAACATCGACAACCTCCATTTCAACGGAAGAAAAAAAAATGTCTGTAAACACAGTAAATCAGTGTTTGCTCTCTCCATAAGCAGCAGTCCAGACCAACTAAAGGCATAATAAGTATGTCTGTGGATGCATGTTTTCCATAACTTACCAGTTACT